ACTGAGTTAGAAGAACTTTATGACTTTGCAGAAGATCAAATCTAATCTTTAAACTCAAGCCTTCATTTTATAATTGGTTTTGGTACCATATCACTTTTTGATATTTAGTAGAAATTTTACTTTTGATTTTAGCTCAGTTAATAAAAAACATCTAGTGCATTTAACCAGGCTTCTCTGTGGCAGAAAGGATGTGAGTTCAAATCTCACTGACAGCTTATCTAACCTTTGATGTTTACTCACTACAATAGATTGAGAGCTTGAATAAAGTTCAAATAAAAAACTACAAAAACTTATGATGAAAGAAAATACTCATCAGAATTAATAATAATAATCTTGTGTGCCACATTCCTTCAGGATGTGAGCAATTATGGCTCACCACAACTTCCTATCCCTTGTAACTTTTAGTAACATTTGTCTTTTCTCTATCTTAATCCACCTACTCTTCTGCCATCCATTGATCCAAGTTGGTCAGGTACGTAGTCCATTGCCTCTTGTTTTTTCTTTTGCCTTTGATATATCTTATGAGTATCAAATTCAACATATCATCTTTCCTCATGTGTCCAAGTAATTTCAGCATTCTTTCTGATTCTGAGTATGTATCCCTTTTGTTTCTATTTCTCTTAAGTTCTTTGTTGCTTATACACTTTGTCCATCGTATTCTCAACATTCTTTTGTAGAACTATATTTCTGATGTCTCCACGTCTCTCTTTATATATGAAAAGATAATTCGGCATTCACTGTCATACAAGAGGATTGATATCACAAAGCAATTCAATATTCTTTTTCTTTGTCTTTTATGATTTTTTTTTCTGTTTCTTAGTACCTTGCTTAGCTTAGGGAATGCATCTTTTGTTATTTCTTAGGATTTCAGTGTCACATTTTCCACCCTCTGTTAAAACATAATAATAATGATTTGTATTATTTTTAAAAATATGAAAATATTTGGTACAACTGAGAAACTGTTTTGAAATAATTACCTCAGTTTATTGTTTTTATTAATTTATCATTTGAGATGAAAATGAGAATTTTTTCTTAAATTTTATTTTGACTTGTTTTCTAATAGAGATGTATGCATAGTGTAATGGTTATCAACAGAAAGTGGGAATGACATAAGTTCAAATTCCGTTTGAGGTCATTACATTCACTTTCACACAAATACACTTAGGAAAGTTGTGATATCTTACACTTATGTTGTATGAGTAATAGACTCGTCCATGCAGGCTATATAATCTGTGACTTACCTCCCTTTTATTTTTGTAGCTGAATTTTGTTTAGCTTAGTGCTTTTACTTCTGTTCTGAGTTTTGTTTTACTTATCACAATTTATTTATCTAAACAAATACAAAAATGAACATGAAAATGGTTTGGAAGCCAAAGCACTTGGATACTGACCCCTGTTCACCAACGGCTGCCAGAGATTATTACCATTGGGGAACCATCCTGTTGAACTATTTCGACGATTATAAGGAAAGAATTCTTAACAAGTACCAGGCTCTCTTGAGCTGTATGCGTTTCAGTGTGTTCAAATACATAGAATGTACAGATTTCGATATGGCTATACAAAAATTGGATAACTTATTTATTAAAACACCTAATGAGGTTTTCATGCAGCACCTGTTGGCTACAATATGACAAGCCAGGAGAGTCACTGGATGAGTTTTTCAGGGACTTGGAAAAGCTGAAGGAAGAACTGCTGAAGAATGTGGCAATGAAGCTATGTGAGATGTCTTCATTACAGGAATAGGTTCGCATCCCATAGGGCAGAGTCTCCTGGAAAATAAGACTCTGAACCTACAAACAGCTTATACTTAAGCTTATGGGCTCTTTTACTTTGATGTGGCAAACCAGTTTACAAGGAGGAAAATTCTGAATTCAAACCCAGACTAAAAAGAGATGATCTTCATCAAGCTATCTTGCCCAAGACACACTTGCTATCACTGCAGTACATGTGATGCCCTTATCACACAGGACTGATGATAAAATACTTTCAACTTGCTAAATTTGAAAATACTCATGAAAAACTGATTTTTCTTTTTTTTCTACATTTCATATTTCAGATACAAATTATTGAAAACCTTTAGCAACATTATTTCTTTATAAGAAAATTTCAATATTGCTAAATATTTTCATAACGAGAGTATAAAATTTATCTTACTCCAAATAATATCCAGTCAATCTCTATTATCTTTATGATACATTGACTATTTTGATTTTAATATCTATGTCTAACTTTTTGCTGTGTTAGAGTTATTTCCATTGCACTTTGAATTTATTTGTAGTAAGACTAGCACACTCAGTACCAAATAAAAGATGTAAGGTGAATTGTCATCAATCCTTTTATTTACTGATCAGTAAATAATTTCAAGAAGGTGAGCTGGTTAGTGATTTGGAAAGAGAAGTCAGCATAGCAAGTTCAAGTTCCAGCCAAGTTCATGACATTCACTTTCACACAAATACACTTGAGAAAGGTATGAATCTATCTCTTCACCACCATGGGTTAAATAGCAGGGCAGATTGGACTCTCTTGCTTTGAGGTGACAACCAATCTAGAAGAAGGTTAAGCCCAATAGTTGAAAAATGGAGTGAGAAGGACTTGTCTATCTAGTCTTCTAAAATCATATACTTTGATGTCTGAAGAACAAATGAGTCTGAATGGATCAGTGAATGATAACTTAATTTAAATGTCTATTTAGTTTGACTTGTGACAAAAGAAAAGACATGTAGAAAGATTCTAAATTCATCAGATTGTATAAGGATGTATATTATTAAAGATGGGGAACTTCTCATTGTGTAATAGTTAACAAGCTGGTTTTACTTGCTTTGAATATTGCTGTCATATATGATCAGGTGCTTCTCTTATATATTTAGTGATTCTTCTTGATAAAATCCAATCGAGAATCTGCAATGTTACTGGTCCTAACCTAGAATCTCAGCCTCAGTCATTTCCCTACTGCCATTAGATTCTCTATGCTTTTTTCTCTAAATAATTTCATGGTGATTGTTCTTATGAATTTTCTTCTATGGTACCTAAGCTTTATGAAATTATTAGGTTGGCCAGAAAGTCCTGACTCACTTAGGAAGTGGAAAGAAAACAACAAATCTTGCTCTCTGTTTAGTGAAATTTCCAAGGAGTACTGCCTTTTGACCTTATTTCACTTGGTTGCGTCATCAACGCTAAACTTTATTGCCAGCATCTAGACTGTGTGCACGACAGATGAAAGAAGTATCTTGATTCAGTCAATCGAGATAGGGCATTATTTCTGCAAGACAATTTGAGGCCACAATCTGCTAGGTTGACTAAGGAGAAGTTCAAACGGATGGACACTGTTGAGATTCTTCCACATTCAGTCCTGATGCTGTTCCAAGTGACTATGGCTTATTCTGCTCAATGGCACACTTCCTTCACTACCAGCGATTCAACACTTTTGATGAAGTGAAGAAAACTTGTTTACAGTTTTCTGATTCAAAGCCAGTGGACTAGTATCTGGGACAGATTTGGATGTTGGTTGATCACTAGCAGAAGATCGAGAATTATGGACTCTATTTTGAAGAATTAAATGTTGGTGTTGCTTTATAAAATTTTGTTTTCTTTCCGTATCCTGAATCAGGACTTGCCAGCTTAGTAAGTGCAGAACTAGATTGGCAACAATTTTACAGTTGAATTGGCTAGACATAACCATAAGTTCTATGATAACAGTTTCTTCTCATCACTTCTCACTTGTTGAACTCTCTTCCAGCTTCTTGCTTCCCATTCAACTTTGGTCTTCAAAAATTTAAATGCAATATCAATCATCATCTGTTTTCTTCATTCCTGTTCTTTTATTGTTTTCTTTAATATTTTTTATATCCTCTCATACTCTTAGTGGCTTTATTGCCTTGCTTGTGATGAAATGATAAAATATTACTGCAGACCAGTTCTTCACTGTGCATCCTTCACTTGTAGCCTTGTACCTGACTAATTTAGTAAATAACTTTCTTTTTACAGATTACAGAGTTTGTATAGATTTTTGTGGTATTTAAATCAAAGTCTTAGGTTGGTTTTATGTAAGAAAAGTTGAAAGAAAAAGTGTACTTATTTGTGTGTGTCCTTCAATAAGTTTACAATGTCAAACAAAAAAATTTAATTTGATATGACTTGGCTGCTAATTATTGAATAATGACCAAGATAATTCTCCTGATGCACAATTATCTCTGTAAACATATCATTTTCTGTGAATCTTTTGTATACTGAATCTGATTTGATTAATGAAACAAGTAATGATCTGAAAGAGAAAGTGAAAATTAAATCTATTGAGAGATCATGTCAGAAGTTCTTACTGAATCATAGGGCATTACTGGTCTTCATTGTAATTTAAATACAGTCAAATAAACAGAAAACATGAATGAAATTAATAAAAAAAATTGAGCAATAATCAAACAAAATGTAATGATTTCATTTGAGAATAAAGTTACAAGGAATAAAATGATTAGAATTAATAAAAAGAAAGGAAATAAGTCTGGTACCAATGAAAATATTTGATTACTTGGTAAACTTTTTTTTTTTTTTTTTGAGGCATAAGTATAAAAGATGAGAAGAGTAGATCTTTGATAGCATTTGCATGATTAATTACTTACATCTGTTTTCAGTCAGTTAGATAAATGGTTTGTATTTTATGTCAGTAATAGTTTATAAATGGCAAATGCTCAGAGAAAAGAGGAGTGTGTGAGGAGAAAAGAATGGGTCAAGGAAAGAGGAATGAGGGGCAAACTAATCAGGAGGAAGGAGTAAGACACAATGGTTGGAGAATGGATAAGTACAAGGGTAGAAACTGAAAATGAGGAAAATGAAGAAAAAAAGATATGTTATTATGGAAGGAAATGGAATGTGAACAAAGAAGAATGAATTCAAGTGAAAAAAAGATGAAAGAAATTATGAAGAAAGGAAAGATGAAAATGAACTGAAAAAGAAAAGACTGAGTTTTGCAAATTGGAAGTTAAAAGAATATGAAAAATAATAGAAAACTAAAAGATAGGAAAGAATGAAGTATTAATGGAAAGAAAGGAAAATGAGAAAAAAAGGAAGAAGATAAAAGGATATTTGAGTTTGGATTTGAGAGAAGGAAGAATAATAATAAAGAGATAAAAAAAATAAATATAATAAAGAAGGAAAATAAAACTGATGAAAGAAAAAAACAAGTCAGCTGAAGAAATTAGGAGAAAAAGAAGAGATTGAAGATTGTCAAAGAGAAATGAATTGACTGAATGACAGAAGATAAACTTAAAAAGAGGAGTATTGAAAGGAGAAAAAGTGTTAGGTAATTAAAGAAAGTGTACTTAGAAGAAAAACAAAGAAAATATGGGATAGAAAAAAGTGGAAAGAAAGAAAGAATGTGGAAAAGATGAGTAAGGAAATGAAAGAATGAAAGGAAAAAGAAACAATAAAATTGAAAGAAGTGCTAAAAAATGGAAAATAAAAAAATCCTCAAGAGTTGTAAAAAAAACAAAAAAATAGGCAGATAGAAAAAAATAAAATGTTCAAGAAAAATGGAAATTTGAAAATAAGAGAAAGCAATGAGATTTGAGTTTGTCACATGTTTGGTAGTTAGAAAACTGCCCATTGTGAGAATCCCAAAGTCAACCAATTGGAAGTAATCAGTTTAGAAATGAGATAAGTGAATAAATCTGGCACAAGAGTGGCACCAGTTCTTATGCTTGCAGCCAAACATTATCAAAGTCATTTAGATTATTTCATGCTTCATATTAACTTTGCACAAGAGCAACAGACTGGAGACAGCAAGGCTTTTTAGTGGCGTTTTGTTAGCATCTGGAAAGACTTCCTCTCTTCTTGTTAATTGGCTGAGGAATAATGAAGACTCTTATGTAGATTTTGAAATCAAAATCCAGAAGAATAAATTGAAATGTAACAATATTATTCTCTGTTCAGACTGAATAATAAACAGTAAGAATATTAAGAAATGTTCAACCCACCATTAATGCCTACTGTTTTGTTTCTGGGCTGGTTGACATTCATGGGTTATACAGAGAAACTTATAATTAATACTGGGTATTTATGAATTGATAATACATGAGTTTGTTTGTTTTTTTTTCTTTTTTTTCAGACCTGTAATTGGATGTGTATTTTAATAAATACTAGTTTTTATTATAAACCTATAATAATATATTTTTAAAAATATAACCCTATAATTAATACCAGAGGTTTAGAAAACTATCATTAATTAAATAATTTTTTAGAAATCTATAATTTATACAGGATGTTTGTTTTAAAATACTAGTTTTTATATATATATATATATACACACATTTTTTTTCATTTTAGAAATCTATTATATCAGATTTTTATTTGAATTATCATGGTTAATACCAAATTATATGGTAGGTATTAATTAAGCTAAAATTAAAACAAGGCTTAGAACAATGCAAGAATTTCAAATTTTCTTTTTCAGAAAAATAGATAGATTACAAACCATTTGCAACAGTTACTATATCTTTTCCAAATTGATTCTCTTATAAAGATTGCATCTCACCAATCAGGTAATCTTGAAGAAGGCAGATGCCAGAATAGCAAATCTTAGTGTACAAATGGTAAAATCCATTTACTGTATTACTGATACATGAAACTCAGATTTGATTGGAGGGTATATAATAAAATTTTTGAAAGAGAGAATATAAAATTCTTTGAAATAATTTTCATCCTTTATTTAAATACCAAACATTTTTATTTAAATTTAATTACCAATTGATTTCTGCTACATTTTTCAAATTGAAATTTTTCTTGTATTTTCTAATGCTAATACATTTTTTTATTTGCAGGTAAACAAATTTTCACAATATTAATTTTGACTCTCCAATTTCATGAAGTGTCCACCAAAAAATTTTACATCATAATTTTCTCCAATTTTTTTGTTCTAAATTGTACAAAACCTATGATAATAAAATTAACCTTTACATTTTTTATTTTTTTTTTTTTTTTTTTTTTAGGTGTTGATTACCTGCTCAAATTTTTGAATAATCCTGTAATTACTTTCCCAAACCATCAAAGGTAAGACTAATTAAGCATGGATTATTGAGGTTCAATCTGTAATACGGTTGTTGCAGGCCCCTTTAAAAAATTAAAAAAATGTTCCACCAAAAGTTTACACTCCAATGGTTTGTAGCAGAATGAAAATTAAAAAAACAGCAAGGTTTGTCAGAAATCATTTCCAATTAAAAATGTGATATTTAAAATGAGATCAACATTAATAAAAATAAAAATCATTTTTTAACCAAAAAAAAGCTTTAAAAAAAATTAAAGAAATAAATCTATTACATCCATATGGAAGCTTTTTTTTTTTTTTTTTCTTTTTTTTTTAAAGGACTAGCATAGACACACAGATTGTGCACATCTCTCATGTCACTTTGTCATCTGTAAAGGATGATTGTCCAGAATTCACTGCTATTTAGGAGATTAGAAACTACATAGCAATTCAGCATACTTCTTATATAATAAATGCAAAAATGTCTGTGTGTGTCACACTTTTTCAATTAAAGGGACACAATTCTATGAAAAATCCTTACATCTGTAGCCATGTTCAGACAAGCATGAGAGTTGTGAGCTTGAAGTAGGAAAATTTGCTGCTTTGCTGTTGCAGTTTGACAAAGGAACCATCAAAATAGACCAAAATGGAGATATTTCACTCCAAATGGTTGTGGAGTTCAATCTCAAGTATCCAAGACTTGATTAACCATGTTTATCCAAACATTGAACACCATTTCATGGATTCAAACTCGCTTTCTGAGATCACCATATTAGCTTTTAAGAATCAAATTGTGAATAGCATCAACTGGAAACTTCGCCAAGAAATTGCAAAAGAAAGCATGAAATACTTTTCTATTGAGACTGTGTAGATCATTGGATCCTCCTGGAATGCCATCACACAAGCTGGAACTAAAAGAAAATATGGCAACTATTGAGAAATCAGGATCCTCTAAAGCTTTGTAATGGAACAAAGTTAATTGTCAAGAAGATGCTTCCTCATCTCTTGGAAGCAGAGATCCTTACTGGTCCCGAAGAGGAGGAAAGAGCTTTAATTCCAAGAATCCTCTTAATTCTTCCAGATCTTCCTTTTGAGTTCAGAAGTCTTTAGTCTCCAGTGAGAATGAGCTAGGCAATGTTAATCAATGTCCCAAAGACAATCACTGAAAGTAACTGAACTTCATCTGATGGAACCCTGCTTTTCTCCCAGCCAGTTCTATGTTGGTTGTTCAAGGGTTGAGAATGGAAACAAGCTATTTTTACTGACCCTAAATGGGAAAACAAAAATGTTGTTTATCATCAAGCTTTGCAAATAGACAAATCATATCATTGTTTTGATGAAAACTGTTGTTTGAAAAATATTGTTCAAGTTTAATAAAATTTAATATGTACTCAATGCATGAAGTGTCATTGTTGGACCAAAGGCCAAATCAAGAGCCCTCTGCAGGATCTAGCTTAATTGCCGCCTGTAGAGTTTATTTAAAAAATACTTACACTTTGCCAGCCCCTGGATTTTATTTAGATTTTCACTTTCCAGTAAACAATAGAAATTTGAAAGGAAGTCAAATAATAAGTAATATTTATTGTTGTCTGGAGTATTGCACATTGAGTGTTGGTGGTAATAAAACAGTGCTCAATATATAATAACAGAGCTAAAATGTATATTAATAATATTTTTTTTTTCCTCACTAGTACTACAACTTGTAGTATCTTTGGATTTCTGTCCAACATTTTTCATCATCTGTTACTGCATCACCCAGATAGTTAAATTTCTCTACCTGCTTGATTTTAACGTTGTAAGAAAACGACAAAACATCGTGGAAAAAAATCAATAATAAGGAAATAGTGCGTACAATTTTGTTAGTTTTATTATTTTATTTTAGGAAATGAGAACCATCATTTATTAGAAAGTATTTTCATGTATAATTAATTACATAACTATCATTATTTTACACAATTGTCCATCTCAAAACCAACTTATTATATAAAGGAGATTGAAGTCATTTTTTAATGAATTAATGTTGGCATTTGCAGACATCTGGTGCATTTTGATAAACATAAATTCTTATGGTAACTGTTGTTGTACCGGTACCCAATCATCTGGTTCACACTCCTCTTCGTTATTTTGAACAGGAGTAGATGTTTATCCCTTGTTTTCTGGTTCTTTTTAAAGTCTTTTAATTTTCTTTCACTCCCAGTAGCCCTTTGCATTTTAGTGGCATTATTGCCTTGCTCAGGGTGAATTGATTAAAAATAAAAAAAACGATGAAATTCAGAGAGCACCCAATGACAAATATAACTCTGATTGCTTTCTCAGTCATCTTCTATTGTTGGACTTTGAAAAGAAAATATGATCAGAATTCTTTAAATAATGCCCAAATTTAGATTAAATATTAGAGAAAAGCATTGTTCTCTGGTACCCTTAATATTAAAGAATAGAAGGGAATAAATTTTATTATTTATTACTTAATATTATGTACCCTTTAAAGAGTTGTAATATTCATAACAACAACAACAATAATGTTATATATAATGATTCATTTACTCCTACATTCAATCCCTTAGTTTGGTACCAGAGGTGATGAACTATGTGGGCAACTTATGTGTAGTTGTTCTGAGGTTACCACCAGTAGAGAGTTCAACCAAGATGAGCTACAAGTTTTGATTGGCGGCAAACTAAGTCTGCACATGGGAGTGAACTACTGGTTGTATATCCAGGGTGGTGATGACACAACATAGCCTAGGAGGTCCTCCACCCAGCAAAGTCAACAGCCAGGCCAGAGAGTTCCCTCTATTGAATCAATGGTTATGTGTGTGTATCTGTGACACAGACAGGCCTTCAAATCAGAGGGCATCAACTGTGGTGTGACCTGTAGAGTGATGGGCTCTGCAAGATGGAATTTTGTCCAAGACATGCATGAATGAACCCCTACTGAGATATATGGAGGAAGCAGGTCAGGTGCTCAGTTTTGCAGCAACCCTACAACTACATCCAATTATTAGACTGATGATGACTCTTAATATTATTGAAGTAAGAATAATAAGCAACTGTTGTTAACTAGGGCAAGGAATGACTTGTTAATTTTAACACCTCCAAAACAACACTGCTCTCTTTTAATTGTCTAAAAGAACCCTTTTTGCCTTCCACCAGCATGGCTGATGCTGACCTCCAGGAGAGTGATGCACTACACCATCTCATGTTAACATTTTCCACAGACAGGAAATAGATTATATTGCTAGGTCTACTGCTAGAAAAGTTTACTGTGTCATGCTAGACATTTTTTCTTGCCAAAATCTATTTTATATATGTATGTTTACCATTCATCCATGTTTTGAATATTGATCTCACATGTGGTTTGGTGCTTCTGCTATGTATTTAGAAATTCTTGATAAAATCTGTAATGTTATTGGTTTTGGCTATATTTCTGAGATGAGATATTATCAGACTATTGTCCTCATGTTTGTCGCCATATTTATTACTGTAATGAGTTGGTCGGTCAACTTGACACCCCCAAAGTTTAGTGGAGGTGGGCAGGCGCAGGAACTGTGATTGGTAGCTGGCTTGTTGATGTTTTGCATTGGTGAGTTACCAAGCTCTATGTAAAGGGCTGGAATGAGAAGGAGGGCAGTTTTCAGTCTCAGAAGTGGAGACTGTGTCCGTCGCTACGACAGCAGGAAAGAAAGAGACAAAATCATTTATTTTTTCGTGACACATTCCAACACAATTACGTTTCAGCTGTTGTACACTCCGGCCTTCTTCAGGTGGTTGGAATGACATACTGAACCCTTTATTTCACTCACTGGGGCAGACTGTTCTAGTTCCATGTGCCATGATTTTAATGGATATCAGTTATCCCCTGTTAATTTCTCTCTCCAAATTCTTCACTGCCTTAACCGGGTATTGAACTCACACTGTTTGGGTCCTGTCACTGGATCTAACCAACGCCTTTATCCACTGTGCCATGTGTCCTTGAGAACAATAGTCCGAGTCCAAATAATGTAAATAGTGTAGAGTTATTGGTTTTGACCTGGCATCTTGGCTTCAGTCACATTTCCACCACAATAATGTTGCTTCTCTGTACTTTTTTTTATCTATATTTTCATTGTAATTGTTCTGATGAGCTTTCCTCTGTGGTACATAGACTTCAGGAATTTAAGCATAGTACTAGATTGATGGCAGTGACTCCTCATTTTACTTTTGAAATGGATAGATGTAACTGTAAGTTCTATGCTAACTGTTTCTTCTATCTCACTTCTTGCAGTGGACCTCTCTTCCGACTTGTTATTTTCCAGTCAACTTTGATCTTCAAAAATTTAAATTCTATGTCAATCATTATCTTCTGTCTTCTTATTTCCTGTTTTTTTTTTCCTCATTCACTCATACTCTCGTCCTGGGTAAGACATTAAACTACATCTGCGTCCTGGGTAAGACGATAAACTACGTCCAGTAGCAAGGCCTCTGATCAGGAGGTTTTGAGGAGCATGGAACCACCTCTCAATTGCTGGTGTTCTCATCTTTACCCTGTCCTGGTGTCGTAGCACCTGTTAGGGTCCCAGCTATGGGCAAATAATTAAGTATTACCAGCAATAAAAAAATTTTGTCAGCATTAAATAATCCACTGAGGTTGATATGCCCTTACTTTTTGATTTTCAATGCATTTCTATTGTGTAGGACTTAATTGGTCAAACAGACCAGTACTCAACTGTATTGCAAGTTGACTTTGCTAAGACCACCCGTCTATTTACCAACCTCCCCACAAGATGTGGCACAAGGCCACTTTTTAATGTGGGGCATTCCAAGTCTGTAGGCTCAGGTAAAAATTTCCCGTAGACCTCGTTGTATACACAGGATTGGGTTTGTCTACCTCCCCAAACAAGACTATGCCCTTTCACATAGTCTCATCTGGGTTCCTCTCCATCTGGAGGCAGAGAGTTTGACAAAAGTGAAAGAGAAAGCCTCCTCCTCATCCTCCTAAAATCACCTGTCTTTGAGCCAGTTGGTGTGTGGTTTATATAACAGACTGGGATGTTCCATTCTGGTATTTGGGCAAGCCTATTCTCTAGGTTCTGATTGGCTGTTGATTTTGGTGTGGATACTGTAATCAATAAATATTCATCATTATGCTATGAAATCTTTATTGAGTTACAGTCTGCTTTCTTTTTCTCTGCCAACTGAATGCTAGTTGGGAACTTCCTTGCAAGGGTGAGTATCATATTGTTGATTCTACATATAGTAGTACATTTAAGAGCCCTGTTCTATTGGTAATATTTAATTCCCAACCACTGACAATCCTTTTCTTCTTCATTTTCAATTCATTTCTGTTGAAATATCTTAGTGATACACTTAGAATTTCTACTCCATCAGTAATGTAGTAATTCCTCACCATAAACAATCACTTTTTTCTGTATTTTCAGTGCATGTCATACAGATTCAATGTTGAAAGTTATTATAGTTTAGGTAAAACAGTATCAAAATTCAAATGTCAGATCATCAAATTCCATTTTTGAAAATTTAATACTCCAAGAAAATAAAATCTGGGAGGTAAGAACAATTGTGGAAATTACATTGCATGACAAAGCAAGGAATTAAATGTGCTCTTGTAATCATGCAGATTGACACCATCATTGTCTCCATCTTTTGGGAATCAGACAAGATGGCAGCATGAAAATAGACAGAATAAGAAAAAAAATAGTTGTCAAGTTTATTCCTTCCTGGCAAGATAGGAGAGACTGGTTGAACTTCTCTTCAAGCTATAACATCATCATTTTGGGAAATGAGCTCTATATGGATATGTCATTTATATTCTGTGTTGACATTGTGTAAATGTGTGATGACATCATGATTATCATCAAAGAAAATTTGAATCTTTCTGAGGTTGCTTGTGTTTTCTTGAAACTAATGTACTTCAAGAAGTTACAAATGTATTCTTCCCTACATAATTTTACAAAAAATGTCTCTTTGATGGTATACAGTATTGTTTGACATAGAAGGTAAGAGGTGAGTAAGGACTTGTGAAAACCACTCTCTCATTACTATTTTGCTTTTAGACATTTATAACAGTAAAAGCATGCAATATATATTGTTGAAACAAACAGCAGGTAGTAAAGTTTGTTTAAAAAAGACTTACATTTTTCCAGCCCCTGGATTTCATTTAATTTCACTTTTCCAGTAAACAAAAAAAAATAATAAATACAAGTTTTTTTTTTTTTTCCTTGCTGATACTACAACTCATAGTTTCATGCACAATGCAATCATCATGTACTGATTGAAAACACTGTAGTAAAATCATAAGAGAAAGTAAGATATATATATATATATATATATATATATATAGTAGCGTCCAAAACTAGGGGACAAAATTTTAAAACCTAATATTTGTTAGAAATAACAACTGTGAAAAGCTGAAATTTTGACAACTGGTAGTCGTTCTCATCCATAATAACATACTAAAATTTGAATCATTTGCAAAGGATAGAAAAAGAATTATAACAATTATTTATTTTCAAAATAAGATCGTCCAAAATTTTGTCCCTTAGTTTTGGATGCTACTATATATATATATATATATATATATATATATATAAAACAGAAAACATTTCATTTGTCAAATTTCTTAAAAAAATTTGTCGGGATACTGTATCTTATTTTACCACCCCCATACACACATACATACGTGTGCATATATATAACTTATTTTCTGTTATGATTTTATAATAGAATGCAATATATTTCGTTAGTTTTCATTTGCTCTTTTTAAAAATCTTAGACAAATTTGCATCATCAAATCTAAAATGTAGTTTTATGAAATTTCTAAGAGACCAATTTTCTGGTTCAGCTGAAATGAAGGAGAGACATAAAGTAAAAAAAAATAAATCTTAAATTTAATCGTTTGACTCTCACAAGGAATCATATTAATGAGTTTTTTTTATATTTCATATTTCCTCAAGTGAGTTTCATAGAAGAAATCACCACTAGTTTTAATTGCTATTTTCTATCTATCTCAGTCTGTACATATGTATCTTTCTATCAATTTGGTGTATTCATTTATATATAGATGTGATTTTATATATATATGTGGACAGACTCAGGATAAGTGTGGGCTCAGCATAGATAGACGTGGGTGGTGTTCAGCATAGATAGATGTGGGCAGACTCCGCGTAGATGCAGATATCAATCTGTTACATCTATCTGAACTCTGCATAGATGCAGAGTGCAAATAGATTTACCTACCAGATTGATATCAATACATCTAAACACACAGATATTAAGTTTCCAATATCATTTTTTTGCAAAAGGAAATTTTAGTATTTTTCAAATTTTCTCATCTCCTTCTTTCTTGTGTGTGCAAACACTCTTTAAGAATTGTCAGCCATAATTTTACGTTATTATGGGGAACATCATGACAGAATCTAAAATGTCTATTCAAACTTCATCTTGGTAAAAGGGCATTGGAATCTCAACAATGGATATTTGAGAACATATGGCAATAGTGCAGCAGGTTCATACTTGCACCTACTTCATTATTACAGTATTTCCTCAATGATCAGATAATTTTTTGATGTCATAGCTATGAATAATAAAATTAAGCAAAATTCAATATTAACAAAATATATTCAACATAATCTCCTCCTGAGTCAGTGTACTTATTTTAGTGATGAATATTAATCACAGAGATGAACCTGATATAGTTAACATTTCAGATCAAAATTTAGCAAAGTTGTGTCGAGTGATAAACTTATTGGCCCACCTTGAGTTATACACATACATTTATCCACCCTCAAAAATGTGTGCACACACACACACACACACATAAGTGAACATTGAAGTCAACACTCAGAGGCAACAGACTGTTTCATGCTAAATGCAATCATCATGTCACATATGCTGTGTTTTTTCTCTACTTTTTATATATACAGGTCAGTGGTGCATTGTGGGTAGCCTATTCTAATTGTTATATATATATATATATATATGGTGCAGGTAATAATCTGTTGGTATATAATCCAAGTGGACCCTAATATAAAATATTAAAACTGATCCACAAACAAATAGAGTTCAATGTATTTATTATAACAGAGCATATAAATTACATAATAAAGAAATCCAAAATTACCTCATAAGAATAGCTATTTCAACTAATGTTGATATATTTGCATTTGACTCAAAATCTATATATCTTCCCATATATTAAATGTTATATGTGCACATTACCCTGGCCTCTCATTTCTGACTATATGTCTGCTAAGGTAGATAGCCAATCCCTGTTGCAGATGCCTGCTCAGGTACATTTGTGTTCATCACTTAGAGATCCCACCTGTGTTTTATAATGCAGTTATGTTGAGAGGGCCTTAGTTAGACTTTCTGGGAGAAAGCATATCATCTGGTGTATTCAAGAGTTTGAACAAGGCCAGTATGTTAAATTCTCTGTCACATATAGCTTGATATTCATCCTTGTATGCACGCACACATTGGTCCACCTTCATATGCAAACATATATTCATCTGCCTGCATTTGAACATATCTATTGATTCATAGTCACCTGTTTATAGATCCATATTCATATCCACTTACATATTGATTCACAGTCAAATATATATATATATCCACCCTCATAAACTCATATATATTGAACCACTCACAAATGCATTATATATTTTAATCCACCTTCATATCTGCTCATATATTGATCCTCCCTGATACACTTACATAAGTCTAAATCTACATATATTCATTTCATCGGTAAATATAGATATTTAACCTTATATACATTGATCCACCTTCATACACATACTTATATTGATTTACCTTCATAAACATGTATTGATCAACCGTCATTTACACACAGACGTATATTGATCAACTGCCATTTACACATGAATGTATATTGATTGACCGTCATTTACACACACATGCATATTGATTGACCATCATTTACATGTGCACGTATATTGATCAACCCTTTTTTACATGCACATGTATATTGATCAACCATGATTTACATGCTCACATACAGGATGTGATGGATGAATTGTTGTCTAAAATGAAAATAACACTCATATGTCATTTTAACAGATATAATTACCAAACTTACACAAAAACATCTTGAAATACTAATCTTATTTGTTATGGAAACTACAACATCTATGCCTTGTATTGTTGAGATCTGTGGCCCTCAGTAAAGTCTAAATGGGACTAAAAGGAGGAGGGAGGAGTTATTTCATATAAGGATGATTTGTCTAGATGATTTAAAGCATTTTATAACACTGGTCTGATGAGGCAGTTGTTTGTCTGAAATAAATTATTACTGAAGTCTTTATTGATGTATTGAGCTTTTCTTTTGATGGATGGATGTGTGTGTGTGTGTGTGTGTGTGTGTGTGTGTGTGTGTGTGTGTAGTGAAAGAGATAATCAGCATTTCTTTCTGTCCCCGATATTCGAGTCTGTAATTACAGTGATTTTTCTTTGTGTTGTGGAAGTAATCTGCGACAAATACTTCCTTTGCTTTCAGAACGCTTACACTTACAAGCTATTTCGGCAGATCGCACACAAAACACAAACTTTTTTCCAGGGTACCTGCTTATCTCTTTCACTACACTCCCCCCCTGTCACATAAGTGACACTCATGGGCAGGCCTCTTTATTCTTAAGCTTCTCCGGAGCGGGGGGACTGTTGGAGGAGATTGTGTGTTATGTTCTGGGGATTCTTCTGATCTGAACCCCTCATGCAGAGAGTATTCATCATGTGAAGAATGTTCTGAAGATTCTTCTTCTGAGGATTCTTCTGGTCTGACAACCTCACGCACAGAGTCTTCGCCATTTGAAGAGGTGCTAGCCCTACCTCCGATGGTAATTATTTGTTCACTTTCTGAGCACTCACTGCTAGTGTCACTTGTTGACGTATCTGTACCTACATAGCGACACAAGTCCTTTATGTGTCTTGGTATGCCATCAACCAGCACAGAGCGCGAGTTACTTAGTCCAGTGACATGCTCTACCTGGTACCGAGTTGTACACCGGATATGTGGAGCTTTTACCCACACGCGATCGCCCAAGTCATACAGCGCACGTTTTTTTATCCTTTCAGTTGAACGTGTTGCGTCAATGCCTCGTAGCCAGACTTTGTACTGATAAATCATGTTGGTTGACGCAGTTGAGGGGGATAAATTATTGTCTCTCTGTGTAACATCAGCGAGAAACCATAACTCAGATTTACTGAAATCTGTGCATTGCCAAAGCAGACATCCCGGTGTAAAATGGACCCTATATTTCGTGAGGCAGATTTATCCCTCTGTATCCAAAGCTGCTGTCAGGGCAGTGGTCAGAGAATGCAAGGAGTGTCAGTCCATCGACCCAGCACCTGTGCAATGGCAAAAAGGATAAGTGAGTGTGAGCAAGGTGTGACACCGTATTGGAATGGACATCACCCATTATAACGGATATCACTATTTAACCCTGATTGACTGTGGCCCAACCCGGTTCACTATTTGGCGATGTCTGTGTCAACAGGATTCCGCAAGCGTCATTGACCACTTGGGGTCATTGTTCTTTGAACGTGGACCTCCGAAAGAAAGAGATAATTAGGTACCTCCGAAAAAAGTTTGTGTTTTGTGTGCGATCTGCAGAAGAAACATTACCAAAAAGTAGTCAGCAAAAATCTTATAGTGAAGAAAACAGCATCTTTTACCTCATTAAACCAAGCGACAGTGCGTCGCGTGTATTCTACGACGGAAAAAATGACAAAAAAGAAACAAGTCCGTTGCAGAAGTCACTATAACAGTATTTTGATATGCAAATTACGGAGCATCCTATCTCAGCTGTTGACGAATGAAAAATTAGGTTCTGCCGATAAAAGCAGTTGATGTTCTCAATTCGGAGGCGGAAAATTCAGGCATTTTTGGCTTTGCCGTTTGTTATTTTTCTGACTGGTTACACGCATTGTGATTTGAGATAGTACCGGCGAATTGAGTTTTCAGCATTTCTTTCTGCCCCCGATATTCGAGTCTGTAATTACAGTGATTTTTCTTTGTGTTGTGGTAGTAATCTGTGACAAATACTTCCTTTGCTTTCAGAACGCTTACGCTTACAATATATATATATATATATATATATATATATATTCTACCTCTTCTCATGTTTAACCATTGTCTTTTGTATGTAGTAGTAATCCAAATTCATGAACTTGTGGAAAAAATGTTCTTCTGCTTAAGGGATAATAAAACAATTAGGATTGGTCAGAGAATGAGGAAGGAAGGAGGTTTTTGTTTTTATCTTTTTATGAACTCTGTATCTTTTTAAAATCTATCTCCATTTTATCGTATGTGTGTTTTTGCATATTCCTTCTCCATACATATATATTGTTTTATTACAAGGAAATAGCATATATATATATATGGCATACACACACAGACTCTTTGTAGGGTTTGTGTATGGTTCGTCGAGTGTTTGTTCTTGCCAGTTTGAGTGTGTGTATGTATATATATATATATATGTATATATATATATATATATATATTTTCCATACATATTTGTATGGTTTGTGTTTCTGTGTGTGCAATTATAATTTGTTTAATGCTTGTTTTTAATTTGTCTATAAAGTTTTTTTCTTGTATTTGTAGGTAAAAATAATTGTCTGTTTGATATATTGGCATAATTTTAAATTTACCTTGATTACATTTGTAGATGTGTTGTGATACAAAGAGTCTTCTGTTGTCTGTAAACTTGTTGTTGCTTTTGTGAAGGGAAACTCTGTTGTTTAGTATTTGGCTGATACCTATATATGACTTGTTGCATACTGTGCATTTGAGTATGTAAATCACATTTTTGGAGTTGCAGTTTAAGTTTTTCTTTCTTATGAATGTTGTTGCGAGTATTCAAAAGTGTAGGAGTTTCCTTCTATAATGAATGATATCACTAACCCCACACCTTGTTACATTTTGTTACCGCCTATATACCGTTATATTTGGATGAGATTAAGTTGTTTTAGGTTTATTGATTGGCGTTTGCTTTTAATTATTTTGGTTGTTTTTAGTATATCTTTTTTCTTGTGATTTCTGTAAATAGTTCTGGATTGTTCTTGTATGTTGAGATATATGCAAGAATTTGTTTAACATTGCATCTTTTTGGATTTTGTAGTTGGTCTATACTTAACTATTTATCATGTTGGCGTTTACATTTTCTAATTATTCAGTGAAGTTGCTTCTCCTCCATTGAGGAGCCATTTCAGACACAAAAGAAAATGTCTACATTGTTTGGTGGTTAAGAAACAACTCGCTGAAAAACCTTTCTATATTTATTTCTTTTCCCACGCTGGCTCAGCCAGTTAAAATTGACTTCGTTGTTTTGTCTTGTATCTGATCCCTAAGGTCAACCTCAGGAAGTCAGAGCAGAGATACATTTCCCCCTAAAAATAATAGTTTGCTAAACTACTATTTAACACCCACACATAATAATCAAGGGGGTTGCAGTCTGGGGAATTATGTGGCCAGATGTAAGGGGTGATGTGGTCACAGAAATTGTCTGATATCTATTACTGTGTTCTCCTGCTTGTGTGTTATGGTGCAGTGTCTTGTTGCCAGACATAGGATCTTTCAGCAGCCACTTTCAGCACTACCTCCTCAAAGCACTTGATGTAGGCCTCTGTGTTGACTGAGTCCCTGTGGGAAGATGAATGGAGGCATAACATCACCATCACTGGTGATCACTCTAAGCACCATGATGTTGACTGGATATTTGGTTTTCATCACTCTTGGGGGACACAGCATCCTCTGCACTGTCCTTGGATTGATACCCAAAGACTCTAAAATGTTCATATTGGAGTTTCCAAGCAAATGCCAAGCAGTACAGCATGCTGTTTCCAAATTTCTGGCAGAGGGAATTGTGTCATAGTGCTCTTTTTCTCACAGATGGGGCCCAACTGACCCTACTATACTGTGTAGCTGACAAAATCAAAAACAACACATATGAGTAAAATTAAACATTATAAAATGGCAACAATTTACCCATTGCACCTCTGTATGTGTGTGTGTGTGTATATATATATATATATATATATATATATATACCCACACAAATTAGTTCCAATAATCATGTTTAAGTATCTGTTCTATATTTTCATTGTTGAAGCAGACTTGCTTCAGTAAGAAACACTGGCTTTCCAATTTAGCGTGCTTTCCAATTTACCTGTGTTTATCATTTTGCAAGAAATGACATCTTTATCTTTTATTTTGAATGAAAAACAAACACCAGTTATATATATATATATTTTGCTCAAGTCAGTCAGCCATTTGGTGCATATTTAAACAAGACTCTTTCATATTATCAAAAAGCAACTTTTTCTAATTTTGCAAAAGAAACTTTCAATGTTAACAATGTCAAGAAATGACACATTGGTTGCACTTCATCATTTTCACTATGATTTTTCTTTTTCCTTTTTTTTTTTTTTTAATGAAAAACACAACCAAAATGTTTTCGTTGAATTATGTCTTGTAGAAAATAAAAATACCTATATATAGAATATCTAATACAATGCATATACACTCATATTCAAGAGATTGTACATTTCTCCTGCTGGTTTGAAAAATGATATTTTCTAAGTAGCTTATTGCAATTACTAACAACCAGATGTTGACTGGAATCAAAATGATATTCATATTGGGAAATGTTTCTTAGTTGTACATCCAGGCTATTAAAATCAAAGCTCATCATTAAAGGCTTTCATCAAGTTTGACAAACTTTATTTCCATTGTTAATAACATTTAATAAACTTTACTGATAACAAAATGGTAGATAGTCAAAGATGCTACAATTTCAGAATTTCCCCAGATCAAAATAATTTAGTAAATACATCCAGTCTTTTAAAATCTTGTTGCAATCAATTAATCAGTTTCTGTCTATATCTCTGAGATGAGGTATTAAGATTATTCACATTATTTGGACTGTTATCCTCATCTTCATTGACATATTCACAATGTTTTGGCCTTGAGGACACATGGCTCAGTAGTTAAAGATGTTAGATCCAGTGACTAAACCCAAAAAGTTGAGTTCAATACCAGGCTACAGCAGGGGTGAACCAAAAAAATTGGAGAGTTGAGTTAAATAACTGAGACATCTGGAAGAGGCATGGCACATGGAACTAGAACAATCTACCCCAGTGGATGAAATAAAGGGTTAGGTTTGAAATTCCAATCACCTGAAGAAGGTTCTGTCAGTTTGTTCAAGGAAATTTTATAGAACAGGATTAATTTGATGATTGCAATTTGAGCAAAATTTTTTTAATGTATTCATACTTGCATTGTGGATGTTTTAGTGATTAAAAAAAATTCTTGAATTTTGCAAGAAGATCAATTTCATAAATAATAAGTCTCAAAGAAATGTTTAGATATGGTATTATAAAAAATAACCTCTTTCCTACAGATGAAATTTCTCAAGTCTCTCAATATTTTATCACTAATTTTGTGGAAATGTTTTGATAATCTACATTCCTTAGCACTATCAGTTCAGATATTTACATCCAAGACTCCAACCTGTCAAGTACACAGGATCAGACCATCCTCATTCACTTGATATTCCACTGGTAAGAAGGAAAATCCATTGGAACTGCTACTTTATAGAACAGGCTGCTGAGAGGATGCTTTCCTAAACAAGAAAACCTTAACCTCCTCAAGTCTAGAGTCAGCCATTATCTATTCTATATATTTTCATAATCTTCACTTCTTACTTTCTCCTCTTCATGATCATGAATCTCATAACTCCTAGGGTCACAGGGGAAGCACATCTGTTGTAGCCACAGCAGCAGTGATGTTTTGTGGGCAAGACAACTTGGTGTCCAACTTTCTCTCAGGCTGGTTTGAATTAGTTTTCCATCTCCTATACTGGTTGGCAACCAAGGCTATAGGGCCTAATCTGTTCTCCTATTTACCCATAACTGAGGGGAAGAGATGGATTCATACCTTTTCTAAGGGTATTAGCTTGTAAGTGAATGTAATGGACTGGAATTTGAACTTGGATCTCTGATTCCTCAATTACACTACTGTGCCTCCTTCCTGTATGATCACTGAAGTTAAGTAATGTTGAGCCTAGCCAGTACCAAGATGGGTGACCATTTAGGAATACCAGGTGCTGTAAGCATGGATATGTTGATGTAATGCATAATGGCTCAGAATTGTTAATTGCAGTTTCAATTCCAACTTGTTTCTTTATCTTCACTTATGAGCAAATACCCACCACACTATTATTCAACCGTAGTCAGGATCATTGAGCCAATGTGAACAATCCTTTCTTTAGCTGTATAGTGTGTGTTATGCCAGGGCTACATACAGTTTTGAATTCAGAGATTCTCCTAGACAGGTTGCCACCTAAGGCTATAGAACCCAGTCTGTCCTGTGATTTACCATAGCTATGGGGAGAAGAAGCGAATGTATACCGTTCCAAAGGGTATTAGCACATAAGAGAATGTAATGGATCCAACTGGAATTCGAACTTGGCTCTGCTGATTCCTCAATCCAAGCTGATATCCATTACTCCACCATACCTCCTTTAGGAAAGGTATGAATCCACCTTTTCTCTCTCCAGCTATGGGTTAATTAGTATGACTTTTATCACTAAACCATTATTATCGCCAAAAATAAAAATAAAATTGCATACAAAATATTTAGATTTTGGCATTAAATAACCATAGAAGTTGATTTGCCGCTAAACAAAACCAATAACAGTACTTCCTCTTACATCTGTTCAAAAACCTTATTCAGTAACCATCTATCTTGAGTGGCTTTTGGGCCTTGTAATGGGTGAACAATGGTTAAAAAAAAAAAAATCTGCAGAATTTATTGATGCTGACAAAATTGATTCAGACAAATCTGATGATTCATTGCAAGCATCGTCCTGGGTATGACGATAAACTACATCTGTGTTCTGGGTATGACGATAAACTACATCCAACAGCATCCCCAGACCCAGATCTCGTCCTGGGTATGACGATAAACTACATCCATGTCCTGGGTATGATGATAAACTATATCCAACAGCAAGGCCTCTGATTATACATTTTTGAAAAATAATATTACCAGCTGTACATTTTTGAAAAAAATAATATTACCAGTTATACATTTTTGAAGAAATATTATCATCAGCTATACGTTTTGGAAAAATAGTATTACCAGCTATATGTTTTTGAAAAAATAATAGTACCAGCTATACAGTTTTGAGGAAAAAAAATATTAACAGAATTAGATTTTTGACGAAACAAAAATATTACCAAAAAAAAAAAAGTTGTCAGCTTTAAATGACCCATTGAGGTTGATGTGCCGTAAAACAAAACAAGCCAAACCAATCATTGCAAACATTTTCTTGTTTAACATCATTTTTGCCTACTGTTAAATTCCTTCTTGTTTGAAATAGATTTCAAGCATTAAAAATGCCTGAAAGGATAAAATGTAACACATTAAGATAGTCTGCTTTTGTGCAAAGTGAAAGAAGTCTTGTTGTTTATATCAATGCAGTGAGGAACAGAAAACTGATCAATAATTCAGTTCCATCTTTCACTTAATGATTTCTCATTAGTGAAAATAATGAGTGGAGCTTAAGAAAGATCTCGGTATGACAGAATAGAAAGTGGATCTTGTCAGACATAGGCCTCTTTTTTTTTTCTCTGAATATGACAACCACCTGCTATGAGCTAACTCACCTCTACCGCCCCAAGCTTATGATCTTCACTATCATAACATGAAAAAAATTGACATCTTGATTTTTGTCCTTGTTTTTATTTTAACCTAGAATAACTTGCTTTCATTTTTTTTTTAATGGAATTAGATTCAAAACAGTAAATGGATAATAACAATAACAATTATTTTAGATATTTGCTTAATGGTTAGAATATTTTAATGTTAGTGCCAGTTAAAAATTTCATCATCCATTGTAGTGAAAGAGATAATCAGCTACCTTGAAAAAGAGTTTGTGTTTTGTGTGTGATCTACTGAAGAAAAATTCATGAAAGTAGTTAGCAAAAATCTATTACTTTCAGTATCAGAATCTATGCTAATGTTCTTTCTTCCCCTGAATGGCGTGACCAATCAGAAAAATTACTCAGTGAATAAAAGTTGTTTTTCGCTTACAGGAGAAGGATTTTTTCTGAGCTTGGTGGATGGACATGCGTTCTTGAAGTGGCAAGACTATATTGAATCCACTGCTAGGTCAGCTTCTAAGGAAGTCAGTTCACTGTGTCATGTGAGAATTATTCTCTCCAGAATCTATCTTACCTATAACCTTCTCAGACTCTCTGCTGATATTGTAGTGAAAGAGATAATCAGCTACCTCGAAGAAGAGTGTGTGATCTGCTGAAGAAAAAATGACTGAAAATAGTTAAGAAAAATCTGCTACTTTAAGTATCAGAATCTATGCTAATGTTCTTTCCTCCCCTGAATGGCGTGACCAATCAGAAAAATTTCTTGGCAAATAAAAGCCATTGTTTTTTGCTTATGGCAGAAGATTTTTTCTGAGCTTGGTGGATGAAGACAGGGTTTTGCTGGTGAAAAATGAAAGTTGGATTTGTGACACCATTTTGTTGTTTCTACGTTACCTGTTGGACTGTTATGATGGACTATCATTTGAACTGTGATTTGACTACAAGTATTGTGGTCAAGAGACAAGAAATCTATTGCAGGTGTTTATTGATACTACAACTTTACAATATTTTTTCTTTTCTTTACTACAACAAGCTATTTCAGCACTTACTTTGTCTCTAGCAAGATGGCAGAAAGACCATTTGATATAAATGCAGTGGTGATACAAGTGGATCACCTGTGGTTGAGTGGATCAAGAATGTAGAACTGGTCTGCGAATTATGTGAGATCATACAGTTTGAATGGATTCTTCTACTGTGCTTGAAAGGTGGCACCCTTGTGGTGGATAGGCAGCTGAGCAAAGAACTGAAAAGTGACATTGAGCAAATAAAGCATGCTCTACTAACCATGTTTGGAACCGACCAGTTCATGGCCTATGACCAATTCCAGACATGGCATCTGCAGCCTGGTGAGACAGTAGATGTATATTTGGTGGAATTAAAGAAGCTTGCTGTACCGATCACACTGCTTCCTGAAGAATGGATGACCCTTGCTTTTGTGCCTGGATTGCCTAGTCATGTTAAACAGATACTCCACACATCATCTAGAATGAAAGACATGATGCTCAAGCAGTTGTTGACCAGAGTTCGTGCTATCATGATCAACAAGAAAGAGGCTGATGAGCCAGTGGCCACAGTCGTTCAACCAGTTGATGTCAAGGAAGCAGTGTTCTGGCACAACTTTACCCCAAAAGACAATGTGTCACCCTCAACTGCGCCAACCAATGTGATTTACTGGTACAAAGTCTGGCTAAGAGGTATTGACATGATGTGTTCCATTGAAGAGATAAAAGAATGAGCGCAGTACCACCAGGGTGATCACGTGTGGGTAAAAGCCCCACATAGCCAGTGTACAACTCAGTACTATGTAGGGCATATCACTGGAATCGGTAACTTGTTCACTGTGCTGGTTGATGGGATGCCAAGACACAAAAAAGATTTGCATCCCTGTGTAGGTTCAGATACTTCAGCAAGTGACGCTAGCAGTGAGTGCTCAGGAAGTGAAAGAATAATCACCATCGGAAGTTGGGATTTCACCTCTTCAGACTCTGAGCGTGAGGTTGCCAGATCAGAAGATAAGTCTTTCAAACATACCACACAATCCCCTCCAGCAGTCGCCTCACTCCAGAGAAGCTCAAGAATAAAGAGGCCGCCCCTCGGTATCACTTATGTGATGGGGGGAATATAGTGAAAGAGTTAATCACCTACCTAAAGAAAGAGTTTGTGTTTTGTGTGTGATCTGCTGAAGAAAAATTCATGAAAGTAGTTAGCAAAAATCTATTACTTTAATCTACGCTTATGTTCTTTCCTCCCCTGAATGGCGTGGCCAATCAGAAAAATCTCTTGGTGAATAAAAGCCATTGTTCTTCGCTTACAAGGAGGATTTTTCTGAGCTTGGCAACGACCACGCATTTTTTCTGGTGAGAAGTAAAGGTTGGATTTATGACCCCATTATGTTGCTTCTATGTTGCCTGTTGGATTGCTATGACAGACTATTGTTTGAACTGTGATTTGGCTACAAGTGTTGCAGTCGAGAGACAGAAGTAACCTATTGCAGGCATTTATTGATACTACAAGTCTACAATTTTTTTTTCTTTTCTTTACCACAACATCCATTTATTTGTCTATTATATATATAAAATTTGTGTATATAGAGAGCAAATTCTCTTTTAGGCATGTCTGATTGAATAAATTACAGACATTATGCCTGCTAATTTATAACAAAATCTGTTCATACTCATGAATAACCTTTCATGTATTGATGTTAAAGGATGAGAGAAATGTGCTATAGCTGTTTAAATTTCTTTTATTTTCATTTTCCAAGTACTTTCAATCTTCTGCAGGGGTGCAAGTAGTACAAAATTATATGTTGTTCATTAGTACAAGTATTTATACAAAGTTGTGCATTGTTATCCATTACCATAGTTTTTTTCATTATGCTTTTAAAAGCAAAATAGTTAACAATGTGCTGAGCGTTCATTAGAATGTGAAAAAATTATCTATTATGGAAGTTTTTTTCATGTTATAATGTCATGATCATGTGCACATTAAAGTGTGAAAAAACTGTTCCTTTACAGGCATTTCAGAACATTACTGCAGTATTCATAGTTGATTCTGTTCAGTGCTGGCTTTAATTTTTTTAATATAAATTGCTTCTAGTATCTGTAATCTGAATTTGTTGTTTTCATGGTGTAGTATAGTTGTGTTGCTGATTAGCAATTTTTTATATTGTGAAAGATATATATATATATATATATATATATATATATATATATATATATATATATATATATATATATATATATTTTATTTTAATATATCTTCTGTTTATATGTTATTTTTATAGACACAGATAGTTAAGTAAATACTTTGTTTATAATAAACAGTATTAACAACATTTACTGGCCTGAATATCCGAGAAATTTAATAGAAAATATGTGTCATCCGACAGAAATCGAACCTGTATCCTACATGGAACCATCATATAGTTTGATGTGTTATACCATTTA